TGGGTATTATATTGTTTGTATGCACTAACTTTCTTTATATTGTATTTTTTTTCCTGAAAATATGGATTTGATAAGCGCAAAATATCATGCAACATACAAAATTGCAAATACCACCATTTTATTCTACAGGGCCTCTGTTTTAGAAAATAAAATGCAGGTCTTTACCATGTGCGGAAATTAAAAAATGTTTGCAGCCAGATCCTGGCTATTCAGTAAAAGTGATCCAGGTGGCTATAAGATTGTAAAGTCGCTCGATCATTTTTATGGTATTATGAAGGGAAGCCCCCTTGCAATAGCAATCAAGTTAAATAAAAAAGAAAGTGTTTAAAATGTAGATTATAAATAAAATAGATAAAAACAACAAAACATTTTTACAAGCACCTCCATTTCCTTGCACGCACATATAAATACAAATGGACGTGCATTAATGCTTTTGTGTTTTTACTAATTTTTTTAAATTTTACCAAAAATTGGGTATTATATTGTTTGTATTCACTAACTTTCTTTATATTGTATTTTTTTTTTCCTGAATAGCGAAAAATATCATGCAACATAAAAAATTGCAAATACCACCATTTTATTCTACAGGGCCTCTGTTTTCAGAAAATAAAATGCAGGTCTTTACCACGTGCAGAAATTAAAAAAAAAATGTTTGCAGCCAGATCCTGGCTATTCAGTAAAAATGATCCAGGTAGCTGTAAAGCCGCTGGATCATTTTTATGGTATTATGAAGGGAAGCCCCCTTGCAATAGCAATCAAGTTAAATGAAAAAGGAAGTGTTTGTTTAAAATATAGATTATAATAAAATAGGTAAAAAAAACAGCAAAACATTTTTAGAAGCACCTCCATTTCCTTGCACGCGCGCATGAAAATACAAATGGACGGGCATTAATGCTTTTGTGTTTTTACTCATTTTTTTTTTTTAATTTTACCAAAAATAGGGTTTTATATTGTTTGTATGCAATAACATTCTTTATATTGTATTTTTTTTTTTACTTGAAAATATGGATTATATAAGAGCAAAATATCATGCAACATATAAAATTGCAAATGTCACAATTTTATTCTACAGGGCCTCTGTTTTCAGAAAATAAAATGCAGGTCTTTACCATGTGCGGAAATTAAAAAATGTTTGCAGCCAGATCCTGGTTATTCAGTTAAATATGTTTGAATTTTAATTCTTTAGCTGTAAATTTCGCTCTTTTATATATATATATATATATATAAACAAAAGACGAAAAAACAAAAGCTTTGTAAATCTCTTTACAGTCAGAAAATCCCTAAACTAAATTGTACAGAATCTCTTGCCGTCCACAGATAATTATAAACAACTTGATAACACAAGTGGTTAAAACAAGGTCATAGCTGCAGAGGCCCCTTAGAGCCATTTTTTGCAGCCAGATATGGCTGTTCAGTAAAAGTGATCCAGGTGGCTGTAAAGCCGCTCAATCATTTTTATGGTATTATGAAGGGAAGTCCCCTTGCAATAGCAATCAAGTTAATTTTTTTTTAATTATTCTACAGGGCCTCTGTTTCAGAAAATAAAATGCAGGTCTTTACCATGTGCGGAAATTAAAAAATGTTTGCAGCCAAATCCTGGCTATTCAGTGAAAGTGATCCAGGTGGCTATAAAGCCACTCGATCATTTTTATGTTTGTTTTTTTTTCCAGTGCATTTTGGACTACCCCGGTCTGTTGAAGCAAGGAGTGCGCATTCCATAAATATATATATATAATATATATATATATATATAAATATTCAATATAAATCTGTATATAATAATAATATCATAACCTCCAGGACATCCGAGATGTAGCCATAGCCCCAGATGATCAATCCCCAAGTGCAGGAGTATTTGAGTTTGCTTTTTCGACATCTACGGTCTGGGGAATAAAAAAGGAGACGTTGGCTAGCTCCCCAACAGAGACTGTGTTGCAGTGAAGGCTGTAAATATATATATCCTGGCTATTCAGTAAAAGTGATCCAGGTGGCTGTAAAGCCGCTGGATCATTTTTATGGTATTATGAAGGGAAGCTCCCTTGCAATAGCAATCAAGTTAAATGAAAAAGAAAAAGTGTTTAAAATGTAGATTATAATAAAATAGATAAAAACAACAAAACATTTTTAGAAGCACTTCCATTTCCTTGCGCGCGCATGCAAAATACAAATGGACGTGCATTAATGCTTTTGTGTTTTTACTAATTTTTTTTTAAATTTTACCAAATATTGGGTATTATATTGTTTGTATGCACTAACTTTCTTTCTATTGTATTTTTTTTTTCCTGAAAATATGGATTTGATAAGCGCAAAAATATCATGCAACATAAAAAATTGCAAATACCACCATTTTATTCTACAGGGCCTCTGTTTTCAGAAAATAAAATGCAGGTCTTTACCACGTGCGTAAATTAAAAAAAATGTTTGCAGCCAGATCCTAGCTATTCAGTGAACGTGATCCAGGTGGCTTTAAAGCCATTCAATCATTTTTATAGTATTATGAAGGGAAGCCCCCTTGCAATAGCAGTCAAGTTAAATTTTTTTTTTTTATTCTACAGGCCTCTGTTTTCAGAAAATAAAATGCAGGTCTTTACCATGTGCGGAAATTAAAAAAGAGCAAAATTTTTTGCAGTCACAATTTTATTCTACAGATCCTGGCTGACTTTCAGTAAAAGTGATCCCTGTGACTATAAAGCCGCTCGATCATTTTTATGGTATTATGAAGGGAAGCTCCCTTGCAATAGCAATAAAATTAAATGAAAAAGAAAGTGTTTAAAATGTAGATTATAATAAAATAGATAAAAACAACAAAACATTTATACAAGCACCTCCATTTCCTTGCGCGCGCATGCAAATACAAATGGACGTGCATTAATGCTTTTGAGTTTTTATTCATTTTTTTTTTATTTTACCAAAAATTGGGTATTATATTGTTTGTATGCACTAACGTTCTTTATATTGTATTTTTTTTTCCTGAAAATATGGATTTGATAAGCAAATACCACCATTTTATTCTACAGGGCCTCTGTTTTCAGAAAATAAAATGCAGGTCTTTACCATGTGCGGAAATTAAAAATGTTTGAAGCCAGATCATGGCTATTCAGTAAAAGTGATCCAGGTGGCTGTAAAGCCGCTGGATCATTTTTATGGTATTATGGAGGGAAGCCCCCTTGCAATAGCAATCAAGTTAAATGAAAAAGAAAATGTTTGTTTAAAATGTAGATTACAATAAAATAGGGAAAAAAAACAACAAAACATTTTTAGAAGCACCTCCGTTTCCTTGCACGCACATGCAAATACAAATGGACGTGCATAAATGCTTCAGTGTTTTTACTAATTTTTTTTAAAAAATTACCAAAAATTGGGTTTTATATTGTTTGTATGCAATAACATTCTTTATATTGTATTTTTTTTTCTTGAAAATATGGATTATATAAGCGCAAAATATCATGCAACATATAAAATTGCAAATGTCACAATTTTATTCTACAGGGCCTCTGTTTTCAGAAAATAAAATGCAGGTCTTTACCATGTTTGCAGCCAGATCCTGGCTATTCAGTGAAAGTGATCCAGTTGGCTGTAAAGCCGCTCGATCATTTTATGGTATTACGAAGGGAAGCCCCCTTGCAATAGCAATCAAGTTAAAATTTTTTATTCTTTATTCTACACGGCTTTTGTTTTCAGAAAATAAAATGCAGGTCTTTACCACGTGCGGAAATTAAAACATTTTTGCAGTCAGATCCTAGCTATTCAGTGAAAGTGATCCAGGTGGCTATAAAGCCATTCAATCATTTTTATAGGAGTATTATGAAGGGAAGCCCCCTTGCAATAGCAATTATGAAGGGAAGCCCCCTTGCAATAGCAATCAAGGTAATTTTTTTTTTTTTAATTCTACAGGGCCTCTGTTTTAAAAAAAAAATAAAATGCAGGTCTTTACCATGTGCGGAAATTAAAAAATGTTTGCAGCCAGATCCTGGCTATTCAGTTAAATATGTTTGAATTTTAATTCTTTAGCTATTAATTTCCACTTTTATATATATATATATATATATATAAAAAACAAAAGACAAAAAAACAAAAGCTTTGTGAATCTCTTTACAGTCAGAAAATCCCTAAACTAAATTGTGCATGATTCTCTTGCCGTCCACAGACTAATTATAAACAACTTGGAACACAAGTGGTTAAAACAAGGTCATAGCTGCAGAGGCCCTGTGCTTAGAACCATTTTTTACAGCCAGATCCTGGCTGTTCAGTAAAAGTGATCCAGGTAGCTGTAAAGCCGCTCAATCATTTTTATGGTATTATGAAGGGAAGCCCCCTTGCAATTGCAATCAAGTTAAATTTTTTTTTCTTTATTCTACAGGGCTTCTGTTTTCAGAAAATAAAATGCAGGTCTTTACCATATGCGGAAATTTAAAAAATGTTTGCAGCCAGATCCTAGCTATTCAGTGAAAGTGATCCAGGTGGCTGTAAAGCCGCTCAATCATTTTTATCGTATTATGAAGGGAAGTCCCCTTGCAATAGCAGTCAAGTTAATTTTTTTTAATTATTCTACTGGGCCTCTGTTTTCAGAAAATAAAATGCAGGTCTTTACCATGTGCGGAAATTAAAAAAATGTTTGCAGCCAGATCCTGGCTATTCAGTGAAAGTAATCCAGGTGGCTGTAAAGCCGCTGGATCATTTTTATGGTATTATGAAGGGAAGCCCCCTTGCAATAGCAATCAAGTTAATTTTTTTTTTTTTTTAATTCTACAGGGCCTCTGTTTTCAGAAAATAAAATGCAGGTCTTTACCATGTGCGGAAATTAAAAAATTGCTCTGGACACAAAAGTCGTTTAATAATTATTGACTAGAAATTAATTGTTACACAATTCCAGACTAAAGATTGTCAATGGAGAACTAAGATCCCTGAGAGTCCTGGGTTAACCATGCTTCATGAAAGGACCAGCGGCACAGCCGGCTGGGCAAGCAGATGGTAAGCCAGAAGTTTCTCAGTCTAGGTCTTGGGTTCTAAACCTTTCTCACCGTTCTTGTGCTTCATCTGTTTGCCGATTTCCCAGAGTATCCGCGTGTAGCACACAATCATGACGCCCAGCGGAGTGACAAACAGAGTGCAAAACGTGAACATGTTGTAGGCCGTCTCCTGCCAGCGCTGGGCAAAGCTCCCATGTGTTGCACATTGTGTGAAATTGGCTCCCGGGACCGTCCGCAAACGGAACAGGAAAAGCTGAGGAAACAATAAAAAAAGAAAACTTGTCATGTCATTATTTCCGATAAAACCCACATTACTATTTCACAGGTTTAATCCTTTTTATAAAGCAGTGGGATAGCTGCCTACTAAAGAAGTCCTACCTTTCCTTCATACGTGTGCCTGGGGCCAGGGCTGCTGTTAGAAACCACGGGGCCCCATACAGCCAACCTGACAGCCCACCACCCGAAAAATTTTTTCTTTTAAACTATGATTTAGGTATGAATGAACACAGTGATTGATCGGTACCAATCACTCATTGTGTTCATTTAGAAAATGAAGGGGCTGGTAGTTACATAGTTAGTCTGGCTTGAAAAAAGACAAAAGTCCATCCAGTTCAACCATTAAAAAAAAAAAGTTATAATCCTACACCCACAGTTGATCCAGAGGAAGGCAAAAAAACCCAGCAAAAAGTGATCCAATTTGCTCCTGCAAAAAACAATATTTTTGACTTTTTGCTATTAAACATGTGCAGTAAAAAAAAAAAAAAATCAAATTTCATCATAAATTTAGGCCAAAATGTATTCTACTCCATGTCTTTGCTAAAAAAATCCCGATATGTGTAAATTAATTGGTTTACGCGAAAGTTATAGCGTTTACAAATGGCGGTATATATGCTGTAATTTTTTTTTTTTTTTACCACTAATGACGGCAATCAGCAACTTATAGCGGGACTGCAGCGGGCATTCTGACACTGGTGGGAGAACTGACCAATACAGTGATCAGTGCTAATAAAAAGCACTGACCAGGGGCGGACTGACCATTTGGAAACTTGGTCACTAGGGGGCCTCATGAGATGCCCTTTTTCATAGGCTTTTTTGAGTTTGGACAAGGACACAGGGGGCCCCATGATCCCCTATTGCCTGGGGGCCCCATGAGTGTCAGCCCTCCCCTGGCACTGACACTGTACTAATGACATTGGGCAGGCAGGGGTTAACATGTGGCTGATCAAAGGGTTAACTGTGTGCTGTTTCACTATACGGGCTGTGCCCATGTCCTCACTGTAAGCGCAATGCTTTGCATGGCTCTGCTATGCACAGCCATACAAAGCAGTGTTCAGGAGCTGAGAGAGGAGAGAACTGTTTTGTTTACATACAGGTCTCTCCCCCCGTCAGAAATGCTCAGAGATCACTGGATGTCGGCCAGGAATCACTGGACCCAATGATTGACTGCTGAGGCCGCCAATGGCAGAGCGGGTAGGGAGTGCGCGCTCCCTGCCCAGGACTGCAAAATCACGTATATATTGATTTTGTTCACCCATGCCGCACTGTAGCAGTATTTCTGCTATACGGGGCACGGAAGCGGTTAAAGAGGACCTTTCATGCATATTTCTATTGCAAGGGATGTTTACATTCTTTGTAATAGGAATAAAAGTGCTAAAAAAAATAATAAAGGGATGGTGTAAAAAAAAAAAAAAAAAAAAAAAAAAACTTTTTTTTTTAAGTGCCTCCATCCCACCATGCTCGTGCACACAAGAGAACACATATGTAAACTGTGCACGCATCTCGATCTCCCCCAATGAATACAAGATCGCAGCATATGCTGATGGTCTCTTGTTTAACCTTACCAATCCAGAGACCTCCATACTAGAATTTCTTTTCCCTGTTCAGTCAATATGGGGAGCCTTCCAATTTTTACATTCATTTTTCTAAATCAGTGGCACTCGACATTAACTTGGCAAAGGACCGTGTGGCACATTTGCAGCGCTCATACCAATTTCCTTGGGCCTCATCCTCTATGCGCCACCTTGGCGTTAACATCACTTCCGACACTTCGGCATTGTATGAGGTGAACTTTAGCCCTCTGTTATCCAAAATTAGGTCAGATATGCGCCTAACTCTCACTTGGTTTGGACCCTGTAATGCCTACAAAATGACGACACTGCCTCAGATCTTGTACCTCATACAGGTATTACCCATACATACCCCTCAGACGTTTTTTGCATCCTTGTGGACTATGCAGCTTGACTATATCTGGGGGTGAAAAGTGGCTTGGATGAGATTCACCTTGTTTACACTCCCTAAGCCGAGAGGTGGTGTGGGCCTGACGGATCTATCATTGTATTATAAAGCCTTGTGCCTCCAGGGTGGTATCCTGGTGAGCATCTACAAGATACAAGCTGTGGGCCCAAATTGAACAACAATCAGCGCAGGTACACTTGCTGCTTTGCTCTGGTTACAGATGAAATATTATTGCTCTCTTAAGAGTCACCCCACTGTGGGAGCCATGATTAGGGTTATCCATCAGATTTTTCAACAAAAGGTATTGTCCCCATATCCCTCTCCCCGTACCCCATTACTTTCCAACCCCAACTTTCCTCTAGGAAATGACAATAGGCAATTACGTCACCTGGAGGAGGCGGGCTTTACGTAGTGTAGACATTTTACGACTACTGGATGTCCCTTCAGACCATTAGCACTCTTGTACAACCCCCATTAAGTGTCTGGTTGGCTTACCAGTTGCGCCATTTTTTATAATCAATTCCAGACTCGGGCAAATATGCCAGATCACTCACCCCCTTGAGCACATGTGCCACTAAGGAGTATACACCTCACCTTTAATCAGTAATTTATAAAATGTTAAACGCTCCAGAGGGGACGTTTGTTCCCTTGTACGTGCGCAAATGAGAAGCAGACCTGCAAATGTCCTTTTCGGGAGAACAAGTGAACCGGATCATTCAATTAGCTCACAAATCCTTGATAGCAAATCGCTTCCAAGAGAGGGATACAAACTTCTGTCTAGGTGTTATAGGGTCCTGGTCAGGGGCGGACTGACAACTCATGGGGCCCCCGGGCAATAGGGGATCATGGGGCCCCTGTGTCTTTGCCCAAACTCAAAAAAGCCTATAAAAAAGATACCAGGGGCATCTCATGGGGCCCCCTACTGACCCCGGTCCCTCGGGCAGTGCCCGAGTTTCCAAATGGTCAGTCCGCCCCTGGTCCTGGTGTTACTGAACAAATTTTACCCCTCAATCTCCTGGTTGCGTTGGCACTGTCAGAAGGAAGAGGGCACTTTATTGCATATCTTCTGGCAATGCCCTTTGTGAATCAGTTCTGGACAGGAGTGAGTAACTTGGTCTCCCAGTCAGGGATGGACTGACCATTTGGAAACTCGGGCACTGCCCGAGGGCCCAGGGTCAGTAGGGGGCCCATGAGATGTCCCTGGTACCTTTTTCATAGGCTTTTTTGAGTTTGGGCAAGGACACAGGGGCCCCATGATCCCCTATTGCCCGTGGGGCCCCATGAGTTGTCAGTCCGCCCCTGCTCCCAGTTGACTTTAGTGGATTTGGGAACAGATCCATTGGCCTATCTCCTTCATTTCAGCCCAGTACCATTACGTTGATATAAACGCTCCCTGACAGTTCATCTCCTGAATGCGGCACGGGCATGCATTCCAGATCTGTGGAGGCAAACGTCTCCCCCAACTATGGGTCATTGGTTTGGGAAGCTGAATGAAATTAATTCTATGGAAAGTCTAACTGCCTCCCTTAACAACAAAGCAGATGAATTTTCAGGAAACGTGGCGGCCTTGGACAATGTACACTTGCACGGCACAACACCTGGACATGGTGCCCACATCCCCCGAGCGCGACTGAGTCCTTCTCGGAGTTACTTTTCAGAGGTTAAATTCTGAACACATTGACTGAGCAGGTTCTTTGGGGGGGGGGGAGGTGCAGAGTAAATGGAGCAAGGACCCCTGTGACACTCTGCCCCTCCATCCCCCAGATCTTCATCCAGTACTGTCAGCATGTTCCCTCTCTATCCTTGCTGCTTGGTCTCTTTTTTCTTCTTTTTATTTATTTATTTTTAGTTTTTCTTCCCATTATTTCCCCTTTCCCTGAGAGTTGTGATATGAAATTTTTTTGTGTACATTTTTTTCTGCCTTTTCATGGTCCCAATATGTGTGGGATAACATTTGTGTTTTATAATGGAAAACGTGTGAGCCAGGCTTTGAGTATTTCAGGTTCATTACCCGACACTTCCAGTATGAGTGGCGTTATTATAGTTTCTGTAATGGACAAATTGCATCTAGCCTGACATCCCTGGTTACTGGATTACTGTGACATGTTGTGCCATAATGCGCTTGTAAATATTTAATGTGAAGTTTACGTTCATGCCTTTTGTATACTGTGTGCTGGAACTTCTTTGTAAATGCACAGTGTCTAAATAAAGATTAAAAAAAAAAAAAAGAGAGACTTTGCAGAAATAAGAGAACAACTTTTGTATGAGTATAAGTCCAAGGATGGGAGAGGCAATACAATTACTAATTCTGTGCAGCACAGTGTATATACAGTCCTGGACAAAAGTTTTGAGAATGACACAAATATGAATTTACCTGCAAGGAAACACGTGCTGTCATCCACTGCTTTGCACAAAAGGATATTGCTGCTACTAAGATTTCACCTAAATCAACCATTTATCAGATCATCTAGAACTTCAAAGAGAGAGGTTCAGTTGTTGTGAAGAAGACTTCAGGGTACCGAAGAAAGTCCAGCAAGCGCCAGGACCATCTCCTAAAGTTGATTCAGCTGTGGGATCGGGGATCCACCAGTACATAGCTTGCTCAGAAATGGCAGCAGGCAGGTGTAAGGGCATTTGCCTGCACAGTGAGGTGATGACTTTTGGAGGATGGCAGCAAAGAAGCCACTTCTGTCTAGGAAAAATATCAGGGACTGATACTATGCAAAAGGTACAGGGATTGGACTGCTGAGGACTGGGGTAAAGTCATTGTCTCTGATGAATCACCTTTCCGATTGTTTGGGGCATCCAGAAAAAACCTTGTCCGGAGAAGAAAAGTTGAGCGCTACTGTGACGGGAGTGACTTTTGGGGGTGGGGGGACCTCTGTATCATCTTCCCAAATTCCCATTATGTTTAAGGCACCCTGTGCCTGTTAAGGGTTACAGGGTGTGTATGTGAATGTCTGAGTCTTGTGTATAGTTTGTGTTCCTTTGTTCTCGGCCACATGGCTGTCCATTGTC